TCCAGACAGGTGTCTCAGGTGTTGTCTCGTCAGGACAGGTGTCTCAGGTGTTGTCTCGTCAGGAGGACAGGTGTCTCAGGTGTTGTCTCGTCAGGACAGGTGTCTCAGGTGTTGTCTCGTCAGGAGGACAGGTGTCTCAGGTGTTGTCTCGTCAGGAGGACATGTGTCTCAGGTGTTGTCTCGTCAGGAGGACAGGTGTCTCAGGTGTTGTCTCGTCAGGACAGGTGTCTCAGGTGTTGGACCTACCTCCCAGCGGTCGTAGGTCATGTAGAACAGGGAGAAGGGGATGGCGGTTCCGGACATGGCGTGTGTGGACGGCATGCTGTACTCAGAGTTGTAGAACACCTCCACCTTGACCACAGGTGGAGAGGCGGGGCGGGACCACCTGACCACATCCTTGGTACACTGACCCAGGTACATGACCCAGACCCAGACCATGATGAGCCTCCTGCTGATGAAGGCGTCCAGGTTCCACATGACGAAGGGGAAGAAGGTGATGTAGAAGAACTCGTTGCCCAGTTCGGTTCCGAACGTGAACAGGTAATACAAGAACCGGTTCTGGATGACGAACTCCTGTCCCACGTCCCCCGTTAGAGAGTTTTTACGGAGGGGTTTCACCGTGCTGGACCGGGAGGACCCCGGGTCTGAGCTGTCCTCTGACCCGGCAGGTTCTCCTCCTGCGGATCCATTACCACAGAGGTCCAGTTTCAGGTCCTGGATCCTCCTCCGGAACCCGGGCGCTGCTGTCTGGACATGTTGTCCCTCTCCGGTTCCGAGACCAGCCGAACTCTCGCCTCCAGCGTCCCCGGTGACCGGATGATGAGACGCCCCGTTGTTGTGCAGGTGAGCCCGGCTCGCTGCCTTCGAACCGCCCGTCCCCCGAACCCCGCACAGGTGCTGAAAGCGGGCAACGAGGTTCGGGTCTTGGAGAGAACGGAACCGTTCCTTCATTTTCTCCATCCTGGGTCGGGGCTGCTCTCGCTCCTGAACCCGCCTGAAGGAACTCAAGACTCGGTTTTTCTTCAGCGGAGCGGCGGCCGTTAGCTTCCTGCTAACTGGACCTGCTCAGAACATCCATGTGGAGCCGGGCCGCGCGTGAYCTCCCAACGGTTCCGGGAGTGAACGAAGTGTGGCCTGAGTGAGAGATTAAAGTCCAGTTTGAGGCTCTCCGGGGTCACCACCGACAGATGTGGAAGTCAGTCACGGGAACTCACCTAACGGGTGACTTTTCTTCTTCTACGGTGGAATTACCGACAGCTGACGTTCTCTGCGTCAGACGACGCGCCCCCTGCTGGTCATCCAGAACACTGCACCTGCCATGAGGTGTGTTTTAACTCTACCYGTTATAAATAAACTCATTACTTTAGTTATTTTCTCACAACTTTTAG